CTGGGTATATAAACCCGGGCTCAGAAGAATAAAGATCAATACGAAACTAAACACCTTCATAGTCAAGTGTATTCGTTCAACTAACACTAAAACTCACCAGAGTATAATCTGTGCATGCTCTGCATTGCTGGCCCGGCAGGTGGATGCGAGCAGCTGGCCATCGGCTGTTGCTGCCAGCGCATAGATCTCATACCCATGTCCGTACAGCTTGTGCAATTCCGGCCACAAGGTGTTCTGCATCAATGTCTCCTCCTGTGGCGGCGTTTGCAGTGTGATAGGCACAAAGTAGTTCTCCGGATATTCTTCCTTCCTTGTCGTCGCCGCCTCATCGGGTGTGTCCACTTTATACACTGCCTTGTTGGATAGTCCCAGCGACGGTACCGAAGCGCCTTTAGGCAGAGCTGATGATGCAGAGCAAAATGAAGATTATTTAGGGTATATGTATATATATATTTATTGCAACCACTCACATTCCAGCAGAGCATCGCCTGCTGCATCATTGGCCACTCCGCTGATGTGTCGAAAGTTCTCAATGAAATTCGCTGTCGCTTGGAATGTGCGTACTATTTTCTCCTCAGCTCCGCTCGCGAATTTATACCGTGAGAGCAAAGCCAGCGCTTGCATATCATAGCCGTGCACCTGCGGACGTGCTAGCTCATGCCAAGTAGCTGTTGGCTTATCGGCCTGCACCCAGGGTGCATGCAACCGAGTCGTCTGATCCGCTGAGACAGTCATTAAGTAGGTACCATCGTGCTCCCAGGCCAAGTCACGCACTTGACTATAATGGCCGCCCACAATAACATTCGAGGTCCACAGGTGCGACTGCTCCTGACTCTGATTCCATATGTGAAAGCCGCCCTGGTAGCTGTGCGCCATTATCGAGCGACCGTCATGTGCGAATTTGCCGCCATAGAAGCCCATCGAGTTGCCGCCCACCTCACCGACGCGCACCTGTTCCAGCCAAACGCCCATATCCGTAGGCGCCCACACTATGACAGTTTTGTCTATGGAGGCGGATAGCAGACGCAGCTCTGAAAGAGAAGAGGATTTAGTATACAGTAAAAGAAAAATGTATCATTAGTCAAGCATATATATACCCTGCTTTTCATTCTTGTGCCAGTGAACGCCGTAGACCCAGCCCTCGTGGCCATAGAGCACTGACTCCAGACTAACCGCATACCAAGTCTCTCCGCCCAGCTGGAGAAGCTTCTCCTCGACGCGCAGCTCGTCGTTATCATTCAACACATCCAGTATGTTCTTTTGTACAGGTTTATCAGTGCCTCGGGCTGCAATACGCCAAAGGCGTATGAAATTTTCCTGTGAGCCGCTGGCTAGCAGTAAATCATCGCCATCGTTCACAAAGTCCAGGCCACGCACCCAATCCTCATGGCCGCTCAGCTTGTGAGCGCACTTGAACTGGCCGGCATTCGTATCGCCACTGCCCGCAGACTGCTCTGCCCATAGGGCAACAGTTTCGTCATCTGTGCTGAAGGCGAGCAACACTTGTTCAGTTTTCGGCAGCAGAGTGAGGCGCAGAGTCAAGCAAAAGCCGTCATCCAACTGCACAGTTTGAAAGCAATTGACTTGTTTATCTGCCTGCAGATGCCATAACTTAAGACTGTTGTCAGCCGCAGCTGTGGCCAGTAACCAAGTGCCGTTTGGACGCAGAACACCATCCACCGCATTCACGCCACTCGTGTGACCTTTCAACAAAATTTTATCTTTGCCGCTCTCCCTATCCAGTTGCCATAGAACTGCATTGCCATCATCGGCGCCCGATAGCAAATACTGCGCATCCAGCCATCGAACTATATTCACGCGCTTTGTATGCTCCACCAGGGTATACAATATCTTTGCTGAATTGCCATTGTACTAAAATAAATAGTTTTTTAAGGAATTGTCAACAATCGTTGCTCGTTTAGCTTACGCGCGGATCGAGCACCGCAACTGCGTTGCAAGCGCCATATGCAATTAAGCCACTGGGTCCCCAATCGGCGCATTCGGTGGTGCGGTTGCAGGCCACCGAGGTGTATAAATTCGTCACTTTCATTACAATTAATGATGCACTACAAACTTCAATGCGAATTGAAATATTTATGCACGTGCATAAAGACGCGCTCCGCAGTGGTCATAAAACTGTTGCCGCTTACAGCTGTTGCTTCATCAGCTGTTACGGCAGTGCAAGTGAGACAACTATATTGCAATACAAACAAATTGTTGAAGAGCTGCCAGACTGTTGTTGGCCACCAAAATATTGCATCTGACTGCAAATAATATTAAATAATGAAATGAAAACCATAAAATTATGCAAAAACACATATTATTATATTCATTAAAATTTTATTAAATTAGTTAGGTTTTCGATTAGGCGACTTGTTTTGCAAAATAAACAACCTAATAAATTCAGCATGCACTTTGGCAACTCTTCACTATTTATAAATAAACATTGTTTGTATGTACACTTGTGCTGCATTGGAAAAAATTAGCGCACGATTGTAATAATAAAAAAAAGTGCAGCTACAACAACTGGGCGGCCACGTTTAATTAAAAGTAATTTACATAATTGATTCGATTGTGTCCGCGAGCATTAGTTCAACAGCAGCCAGCGCACACAGATTGTGCGACAACTTTTCTTTTCATCTGAGTCATTTCAGTTTATCTCAGAATTAATTTGATTTTTATCGCTTGTTTAGGTAGAAAAAAATGCATGAATGTGTTTCGCCAGCAGCATAATCGAAGCGCATAAGAAGTTATTTATAGCGCCCGACGGAGCAAATCATAGAGACTCGGGCACGCCCACCTACGCAAACGGCAGACGAAAAATGTCGCGCAGCAAGTCTCGATTGCAGACTGAAGTCTGTGGAGATTGTGGAGCAACGGGTGAGTCCCATTAGAATAGACAGCTTATATACAATTCATACTGACTCGTTACTCTCCATTTAGATCCCTCCTGGGCCTCCATAAATCGTGGCATTCTGCTCTGCGCCGACTGCTGCTCGGTGCACCGCAGCTTGGGTCGTCACATTTCGATTGTAAAGTCGCTGCGCCAAGGCAACTGGGAGCCATCTTTGCTGAATTTCGTCAATTCTCTGAATGCTCATGGCGCGAACAGTGTGTGGGAACATCATTTGCTGGATGGCAGCACGAATTCGTCGGGCGGCAAGCACTTGCCACGCTGGCGCAAGCCAACGCCCAAGGATCCACTGCATCCGACCAAGTCGGACTTCATCAAGGCCAAGCATGTGAATCTGAACTTTGTGCTGAAGCCCAGTCTGCAGGACGACGACGACTCCAGCAGCGGGGGCAGCAATCTGGAACAGGAGCTTAGTCGACAGCTGCATGCGAGCGTGCGCACCAGCAACCTGGAGACCTCGTTGCGTTTCCTTGTGCAGGGCGCCGATCCCAATTACTATCACGAGGAGAAGTGCTCGACGCCATTGCACATGGCAGCCAAGTTTGGCCAGGCCTCCCAGATCGAAATGCTGCTCATCTATGGCGCCGATGTGAATGCCTTGGATGGCAACGGCATGACGCCCTTGGAGCTGGCCAAGGCCAACAATCATAGCACCATAGCTGAACGTTTGCTGGATGCCATGTACGATGTGACAGATAGACTCATTATGTTCATGGGTGGCAAGAAACCCGATCATGCTGTAAGTGTCCATAGTAATTTGTTATCAGCTAATCCTTATCTCCCTCTTCTTCTTCTGATGCTCTAGAGCGGTCGCCACTTGGTCATACCGGAGACAAACGGTGCCGAAATAAGCGAGCAATTGAAAATAGCTCGCGGCAAGCTGCAGCTGGTGCCGAATAAAATGTTCGAGGAGCTTGTCATGGATCTGTACGACGAGGTGGACAGACGCGAATGTGAAGCCAGTAAGTTAAGGCTAGCCTCTCTCAATCAGTCACCCCAATAATCTTCTCCTGCTCTCTTCTAGTCTGGTCCACTAGCACGCTCAATGCAGAGCATGCAACGGTGCCATTTTTGCCAGCAAACCCATTTTTAAGCGCCACGCGCAATCAGGTATGATCAAATCTGTGAACCTTGACTCACTAATTGTTTTCACCTTCCGAATCGACAGGGTCGCCAGAAGCTTGCACGCTTCAATCGTGCCGAATTCAATGGTCTGCTCACTGATGTGCTCATCGATGCGCTACGTCGCCAGAATATGGCCAATCTGCGTCCGTTGGACGCGCCGCTGCCAACGCAGTCGCTGCAATTGTTGCCCTATCACGGCAACAATTCGACCATGTACAGCAGCTCGTTTGAGCAGAGCATTCATGATCCAAATCTATCTGATGACGAGCCCATCTACGATCCGGTGGCCAGCGATGATGACTATGCGCCGGTGCCGCCAATGGCCCAGCAGGTAAACCTAATGCGCCAAAAGATACTCAAGCTGAACAACAGCTTTGGCTAGACTGAACCTAGAGACTAATCACCTAGTCATCCACATACTCTATAATCGAATATATAAACCTCATCGCGTAGCTAGTTGTAAGCTTTTCTAGTCGAACGATCGCTGATCAAATAAAATTAGTTGCTCATGTGTAAACGGTGTAGTTTAACTATATAATCATTGTTTCAAGTTAGTTTCTAGTTTTGTTAGTATTTGTTTTGATTAGTTTTTACTTTCATTTTACTTATTATTTACTTAATTTCCTTTTATTTAATCAAGGCCATTGTGCACAGTCCGCCGCGCAATGAAAACTCACAGAACGAAATGGAAACGCTGCGCAAGCAGATCAACGAATATAAATCCGAGATCAATCAATTGAAGAACGTGGTGCAGCAGCTCTCCAGCGAGAATACGCAGCTCAAATGCAAGTTCAATAGCGCCTCCAACAACAGCGTCTACGATGAGCCACTGTGAGCAGCTGTTTATATTCTTTATTTATTTTGATTTCCTTTATATAATTTCTATTTTATTTTATGTTAGTCGCATTGATTTGAGTCTCAACAGTCCCGACTCGGAGCATGAACCGCTCTCGCTACCCGAGGGCTCCTCAACTGCTGCTGCTGCTGCAGCTGTGGACAGCAGCTCATCGAACGGTTCATCGAATCAGTCGACTATCAAACGACCCGCCAGCATGTATGAGCGTCGCTTGGCCAACAACTTGGCCAAGGGCAACAGCGACGTGCGCAACACCACGAGCATGTATCAAATGGCCGGCGATGGCAAACCTTTCGGTGAGGAGGTTAAGTTACGTTCCGATCTAGTTACACGCTGTCTCAAGGAACTCATACAAGCCATGCACCCGGCCACGGAGGCGGAGAAGCAATCTATAGCGCCGCATGGCGAACGCATACGCAGCGCCGTCACTGACCTAATAGCGCTCTATGCTAATTTAGTGAGTTGTCTAAATTTCGAAATTCTATATCAGCTTATTCAATTCATTAATCTCTATAAAGCCCCCGAATGCCAGCGAACTGACACGCGAGACTCTTAAACAGCTGACGCGCAACAATATACTCATCCAGCACGAGTGCGAGAATCTGCAGAAGTCGATCGAGGCCGAGGATCAGCAGGGCATACACAAAAACATGCTGGAGGTGCGCGATTGCGCCTTCCACATAGCCAGCGCCATTAAAACGCTCGTGCTGCAGTTCTACTGAATGACGTACGAAAACACTTTTCACTTCAATTGACAGTTTCACTAAGCATTTAAGATATAATAGTATTAATACCACAATTATTATCACCTACTACTACTCGATACCCCCTCATTATCCCATGGACTAACCAAGTGCTTCCTTAACGAAAAATGAAATTTGTTTGCCAAATGAAGCAAAAATGTTTTTTTTTATTATTAATATTTGTATTAATAAATGTTTTACATAAAGCGATTTATCATCCAATATGTTTGGCATATTGAAAGGAATTGTTGAATGTTTTAATACCGAAGGTAAATTCTAGTTGAGCTCGTGGGAGAACAGAGTGAACATCGGGTGTAGAAAAATAGTAAAAAGACCTTCAAGGTAAAGGGGGTAGGAAATAAAAGTGAAAGGCTAACTTAAGTAATTGTCTATTGCTGCTGTTAATAGTCTCCCTATGTTATCCAGATATACATATATATGCTGATATATATCTATTTAGTATTATATTGTACATTTAGTTAACTTTGTATTTAAAGCATGGACATTTATTAGGCGCTATTTCGGTTGTCCCTTCTATTGTTTAACTTTATGTAATTGAGTTATCGTTTGGTCTGTTATTTTACTTTTTTTCTTTACACAGGCACACGCACATACACACAGTACACATACACACCCACTTACATAACTAAAATAGTATATATATATTATTTATATATATATTTTTTCTTTTTGGCAATTTCATTGCATTTTGTGTTTAAAATATTGCGCCAAATCTCTTGTTTATGTTTTATTTATAGTTATTTTGCAGGGAATGCTACTCTGAAGGAACGATTTAGCTAGCTCTTTTTTTCTGTCGGTTCTACTTTTAAAATCGCGTAGATCGTGCACTAATTTGTTGCCAGAAATTGTGTTTATATATAATATATATATATATAGTTGATTGCATTATTTTCAAAACATTTGCTACTCTCCAAAAGTTGCCATAAAAATATAATATATATACCTATATAATTATGCTCAATCAATACCCTATACACATGCATAGCCCGTTCTCCCTCCCTCTCTCTATCTCTTTCTCTAAAATATTGCTTGCTTTCCTCACATATCATTTTGCCTATCCTCACTAACACACATACAAACCCACATGCACACACACATGCACAACTCTAGCTAAGTTTCGTTTGGGTTAGTTGGAGACACCATTAAAAATTATAATACACCTAAAATATTGCTACAACCTCTGCATTGATCAACTGGCCTGGTGAAGTTTATCGTTTTGGAATGTCTTTCAAAATAAATTCCTAAAGCTGCCCTGCGAACAATATATAATTATATGTATGTATATATAAATAATAGGTATATTAAAAACATTCATAGTTGCATCAACTTAATTTATCGGTTTTTGTCTAAACTTATTTAGGTACACAATATTAATATTAATATCAGATTGGTTTTCTTTTTTTTTTTCAGAGTAGTCTCGTTTAAACTTAGCAAAAATTAATTAATGATAATCATAACAACAGCAATAAATAACATATATCGTAACTTCTATACATATACATATAAATATATGTATATATATGTGTGTATATATATATATCTCTAGACGATTTCCATCGATGCATAACTAAGCTTGCTTTACTAACTGTCTTTCACTTTAGCTTAACTCATATCTGTCTTTCCGAATCGGTAATTGCCCTAAAACTCGTTTCAAGTTTCCTACATTTGTAACTACTGGAAAAAAAGGAATAAACGAAAGAGAAACAAAGAGTAAAGAAATTAAACGTAAATGCACAACAACAGAACAACAAAGAACTTTACTCGTCCTCCGCCTCGGTTATGGTTGAGTTCATAATGTGCGTCTCCTTCTTATATAGCAGCTGACGATGATGCTGACAGAGATAAGATTGAGAGCAACTTCATAATGTATACAATATATGTATATAGAGAATATATGAGACTTACCTCCTCGTTTTGTATCATTATAATACGATGCTCAATCTGTGGCGCCAAATCGCAAGTGGACTGCTCGAGATCATCTAGCGAGGCACGACGCAGCATCTACAGAAAGCAAAATAAATCAGACAAAGTTCTCTCTTATATAGATAATCACTCCATGGAGTAGTGCATACCTTCTGCGAATTGCCATGCGCCAGATCCAGCGACTTGTTGTGATGACCCACAGAGAGTTTACGTATGGGCGACGGACCATCCAGATCCAAACTGTCCAGACATTGCACCAGACTGTGTCGTCGCGATAGCGTCACTAGCGACTGTCGATGCTTGGTATTCTGACCACATTTGCGCGAATTGATGGCCTTGAAGTGATTTTGCAACGTTATGCCCAGCTCTGGACAGGCATCGTCATCCATCTATCAAAGAGAAAGTACTTTATACTAACTGCCACAATTTCAGCTTTGAGAATCATGCACTCACCAACACTTTGGCATCCTTGAACATGGTGTAGCCATCGCAGCCCATATATAAGTAGCTCTTGACGCACAATTTGTAGGTCTGCTCCAGATTCAAGTACTCATCGCCCACCTGTATCAACTGTGGATCGATGCGCTTGCCAGGCTCCGCTTGCGGATCGAAGGCGAAACTAATGCCAGCCACCTGTGGGAAACGACCCTCAAGCTTGGGATAGGCCGACACGCCGTTCTCGAGCGCCTGCCACAGCATGTGTCCCTTGACCTCCAGCAGGATCAAAGGATCTCGCATGGGTATAACATTGACCAGATCGCCCATTGTAAACTTGCCCACCGGATGTATGCGATCCGAGCGGAATGTGCCACCATTCAGTATAACCACATCGGCACCCACAGCTGCCAGCACCACATCGCACACCCAGTTGCCCAGATTCGTTTCCTGAGTGCGCACTTTCGAGAAGCGGCCATCGAGCTCCACACTGAATATGCCCATGACATCCGATAACTTGCTCTCTATGAATTCTATGGGAAAAGGAAAAATCAATTTACATTATCATTTCATCATCTGCAATTTCTCAACTTTAATTTACTAGCATATTTGTCCAATTCCTGTTTGAGCACCGGATCCTCTGGTATCTTGGACGTCACGTCCATGCACTGCACATCCGTTGTGAACTGTGTGCGATCGTTGGCCTGTCGCTCGATGGTTATGACTGAGAACTGTTGGAAATCTGTGCCAGATTTCACAATCATTTTGCCATTAATTTCGGTCACCTCTCGCACGTGATCGTGCCCGCCGAGAATGATGTCAATGCCATTGCATTTCTCGGCCAGATTTATGTCGTTGGGCGTGCGCATGTGTGTGAGGGCAATGATCAGATCGCAGCCCTCGTTGCGCAGTTCGCGGGCCAAACGATTTCCAGCCTCCACATAGTCGATATATGTGACTTCGGTGGGATCGATTGTGGGCAACGTTTCGAGCCATTCCCGTTCGACCAGACCAATGAGTCCAATCGAGATTTGATTGTGTAGTATAAAATGTGAGATTTTACCACCGCCCAGCGGGCGACCAGTTTCGTTGTCAACCACATTCGACATGAGCCAAGGGAAATTCGTTTGTTTGATCAGCTTAACCAGCACATCCAGACCGTGATCTGAATGAAAAAGAGATTTGGATATTATAAGGATTTGAAGCACTCTAAACTAATCTAAAGATAGTAACACTTCTGTAAAACTTTAACATGATCGTAACATTCCCACTGTTAAAGACCTCTTTTCACTTAAACACATTTCAATGGGCCTCAGGGCAAACTTACCAAAATCATGATTGCCAAAGACAGCACAATGTGTGCCCACCTGATTGAGCACAGGTATCATCTGTTCGCCTTGGGTAAAGGTGCTCACTGTGAGTGGAAGATGAAAGGATTGTAATTCGCTGACTGTTGATTATAGATTATAGATACTTACGCATGCTGGGCGAGAAGGCGTCGCCGCTGAACAGGACAAGTGGATTGAGATGTGCAAAGCTCTTGATGGCTGTGGCAAAGCGGGCCGCACCACCCACCGGCTCCGTCTCGGCCATCGATTCAATGTTGTAGACATCGTTATAGTGCAGAATGGTCAGTGGCTTGTCCTCGCCCTCCGTCATTTTGAGCAGCTTTTTGGTCTTCTCCAACTGTGACGATATCGATGTGGAGCGTCCGGTCAGGCCGTTTGGTGTGCCACGCCCACGATGCCTTGGACTTTGTGGCTGACTAACGGACGCGTATGCCCGTGTTCGTGTCAGCAATTTGGTATCGCAGCTATCCTCGGTGTCTTGCAGAATGCCCGATAAATTTGTAGAGCCGCTCAGTGAGCCCTCGGCACTCGTTGTAGTCGGCACACTGCCCGGCACACTGGCCGACACGGATACTGTGGGCGTCAGCGACAGGTCGAGTGAGCGAAAATTCGGATTTGTGCTCTGCAGCATGGACAGAGTACGGGTGCCAGCGTCCCGCACCTCAATGGAAGCCTGCAAGATTATAGGGTATCAAATACATGAGCAACGTGAACATGAAGCATAGCAACACCCAAAAAGCACACGAACAAGGCGAGCACACAACATCGACAGACAACAACATCAAGGAGGGGGGGAGAGAGACAGAGTGAGATACACAGTGAGTTAAAGAGAGAGAGAGAGAGAGGGCGAGTGGGTGAGTTCAGATTGGTTATATGAACTGCTGCTGGGGTTATAATTGATACATACATAGGCTTTTATTAGGATTAGGTAGCGCGGCAAGAGGGTTGACATGAAATAAGCTCCAAGATCAAATAGTTCCAAATAATAAAAATTAGTTAGCGCCTATGAAAAACAAACGGGAAACACAATCAGAAATAACTAAGTGAATACAAAATAAATACGTTTCACTTTTACTTATACTAATCTTATATAAGTTAGTATAATTAACTTGTTGTTTTATTAAATATTCATTTAGTTACAAGATAAGCAGATGCATTGGTATCGATATAAAATCTGGGAAGCTGCTAGAAATTTATTTAGTAAATTTATAACAAGCTCTTACAAATTCGGGCATAAGAAAAACTTAAAAATAAAAAAATATATATTTTTGTTTCTATTTTTAAGTCGTTTAAATAAAAATATGAGAGTCAATTTCATAAAATTTTTCTTTCTTATATTTTTGTATTTCAATTATAATAAAAAGTAAAAATGAGTATAATAAAAAAACAAAATTAAATACGAAATTTATTTATTATTAAAAATATTAAATTAAATTAATAATAAAATTATTTCTAATAAAAATTAAGTTAGATTATCTAATCAAAATTAAATTAAATTATCTAATAAAAATTAAATTAGCTTATCCTTCACATTAAAATAGAATATCTGATATAATAATAAATAAAAAAAACAAAATAAATAAAATTTTAAAAAATAAATACGAAACGTTATTATTTTAAAAATATAAAATAAAATTATTATTATAAACTAAAACAAAATTTTATACATTATTAAATAATACTATAATACAATAAATAACTATATATAATATATAAGAAGTGTAAATAATTTAGTCCTAATTGGTGCAAATTTCTATGACATGAACCCATAAAAAGTTCAAATATAAAATTAAGGCGAACAAAGTGTCAGGTGTGATAGCGGGGGAGGCAGGTGCGCTTGCATTACGTATAAGCAGGTGCAGGATAACAATAAAACAGGTACAGCATATATTGTGTGTTGCTGTTGTTTTTGTTGTTGTTGTGGGTATGTGTATCACGAGATGCGAGTAACATAATTAGAGCTGACTAGCTCCTGGTGCTTGGCTCAACTACAGAAAACTATTTCGCTCGCTGTGGCAGTCGAAGTGCAGCACACACACACGCACACAGATAAATACAACTAGATAGATATAGATATAGATATATATGTATGTTTTAATGTGGGCCAAGTGTGCTGGCAAATAAGAGAGAACAGAAACCTGCTTTAGCCAGCCAACAACATTGCCCATGGCAGCTCCACGATTGCCGCCCTGCAAATGCACCAAACGACGCGCTGAACTTGAGTTGGCAGTTGCTGTTGTTGCTGCTGTTGTTGTTGTTGCCGTTGCCGTTGCAACAGAGCCAGCAAATGCCGTTGCACCCGCTGCTAATTCAGTATCGCCACCTGCGACGCCACCTCCGCCGTCATTGTTGATGTTTCTGTTGTTGTTGCTCATCCTGCGGCTGCTGCACGAAGAGAAAAGTTTGGTTTTCGATTTGCTTTTTGTTTTCTTCTATCACTGTTTAACATCAAGCACAACAAAAACTTACAGCGCATTTGCGACACATGTCACAGTACGTATACGCATTTTGCAACAAATCATAACAACGTAGCAAATATAAATATAAATAAAAAATATAAGAAAATGCGCGCGCTAAAAGTATCTCGAGTATAGCCAAACAACAATTTGTTTAAAATTTATTTCAATTTGGATTTTCTTTTCATATACGTATATGGTTTATGTTCGTTTCTTATATGTGTTGACAACAACTCGACGCCGCGAGAGACGACAGCGGACTGCAAATTGTTGTTTAAATTTGTATAAATGCAAAATGATTTCACTCAAATTCAATGCATTATCAACGAAAATGTAGATAAGAATGAGGAAAAGGTAGAGTAGACAGAGAGAGAGAGAGAGAGAGAGAGCATGAGAGAGGCACTCACGAGGCAAACGAAAATGAAAACGAAAACAACTAGGAACAAGACGATCGGCTGTTTATGACTGCGTAATGCTCGCTTGGAAAATAATGAATCAGCATAATTTAATATTGAGAAGTTTATCTATAAAGAGCTTTAGCTTCTGACTGGTTTAAAAATATTATATTTGTATTAATATATATATATATATATATATATATATATATATATATATATATATATATATATGCTTTTCTAAATCAGTTTATAAATATTTGTATATGATATATATTGATGCTACTGCGTTATTAACCTAAAGTTGGTGAAACTTTGTGAATACATACTGTAGATCATTGATGCATATCTAATATCTAATATGGATATTTATAATATTATAATAAATATAATTTCTACATTTCTTTTACACACTCATTTAACAAGCGATACACAGCATAAGTCTAATATACTTTGCTTTCACGAAATTGAGCTAGTGATCCACAAACTTGTCACTCCCATGCACACTCAACTCACACAGTCACACACACACACACACACACTGTTAAACGTGACTAAATGCATGCCAAAAAATTCTCTCTCATTCGAGCTCTCATAAAATTGCATTACGTTTATTGCTGGCCTTCTCTTTGTGTGATTTATTAATCGAACCGTTAAATATACGCACAATATAAGTGAAATTGACAATAATGGGAAGCATATTTTAGTGTTAAGAAAGAGAATATGCCTGGTAGAATGTCGAGAATATATTTCTTACTTAATTCAATAACTAATGTAATATAGTTTATTATTCTAAATATAATTTATTATATTCAATAAAATTATTTAAGAACTAAATAAGCAGCTAGTAATAAATGATATAATATAATATTGATATATTAATACAACTACTATTCATATAGTTAAAATATACTAAATTTTATTCACTATTAAATTAATTTACTTTGCTTAAAATTAATTATTGCTTATAAAATTTATAATAATAAATTATTGTATAATTATTTGTATTATAATCTCATTATTTATTTTAATAATTTCTCGTATTTATATTTTATTATATATCTATTGCATTATTAAAAGTTGTGTCAAGCTCCATTTGCATTGCTTTCAACTGCATTTTTACATGAATTTTTAGCCAAGTTTTGTAGGCCTGAAACCAGTTTACCGTTAGTTAAGCAAGCTTCAGATTTCTAGGGCTTCGCAAGCAGCCTGACAACAGCTTCTTCTTCTTCTTCTTTTCTGCCTAAATCAAATATATATAAAATATATATTGAGAGATTCTCAATCTAAGAGATCAATAGAGAGCAAAACAATTTTAATTGTCAATAATAAAATTATTCTCAGCTACAAAAACCTTACGCATTTTGTCAGCTCTCTGGCCAAGCCTTAGAAACTCAACTATGCTATTCATTTATATAGAACCAGTGTCATATGCAATCTGCACACACAAAAAAAAAAAAAAATGGCGCCATTAAGCAATTTTCATGGCTGTTCATGCTTAAGCGGCTGCCAAACCTTAAAGTATCTCACAGATACAGATACAAATATACATATATACAGATATATAAAAACCATGCGTGCCATTTATATAAATATACATGTGTGTGTGTGTGTGTGTATGTTAAGCAATAACGGACAGACGCAGTTCACTCGCATTCAGCATTGGCATTGATAATGAAAGCAAAGTGAAACGCATGAATTTACAAGCGAATATTACGTATACGCAACGTGCGGGCCGGATAGAGAAGGTCGAGAGACTCGTATTGGGATACGGTTGGGAATTTGCCTTTGACTCTGTTCAAGAATGCGAGAGACAGACACACACACACACACACACACACACTCACACGCAATGCATACCAAATGACAAATATGTGCGCATATGTAACTGCAAATATACGCAGATACATGTATACAGATATATTTACATATATGTATACTTATATATGTGTGCGTGTATTTATCAGGCAACAAAAATAATGTGGTTTTCAGGCAGGTCGCCTGGCTGCGTCATGGCAACTGAACCACAAAATAACTGACAGGAAATGAGCTGCACGCCTAAATGCAATCCGTAAGTAAGGAGTGAATTTATTTCAGCTACAAACTGATACACCTATCTTAATATGTACATATATATACACTGATATATTGGGTTATAGCTTTTAATATACTTTAATAACAACTTCCAATTGGTTGAGCAACGATCATAATAAATAAACAAAATAAATATGAGATAATAATATAATAAATATATTAATAAAGCCTGAAGGCCTTTGTTCCTCTGGCTTGAAAATTTGTTATATAGATTTAATTCTTTGTAAAAATAAATAAATAAATAAATAAATAAATATAATAATAAAATATATATCATGCTCAGAGCAAAGCATCATATCAATATGCCTAACTTATTTAAATATTTTAAACTAATGAAAGTATGAAAATTTTAACTATTATATAAAAATATAATAATAAATAGGCCAACATGGAAGTTGAGACCAATACAATCACATTTTGCACCGTTAGAGACAATGATTGACGTAATATATTTTGTATATATTTTTTTCTTACAAATTGAATCATTGAATGATTGAATCATTCATGAAAAAACATCATTTTAATTTTTCATTATTTATTATTATTTATTTCGAAATGAGCTCAAAGCAAAAAAATGTATGACCGCTCCTCATAAAAAAATAAAACGAGTTTAATTTAAATTCAATTCAAAATTCCCACATACAGAAATCATATTAAAAAATTGAATATCTCTTTTTATTGTAAACAATATGTTTACACAAAATTTCACACTGTTTATGTAAAGTTCAAAGTGCCGTTCGCTCGGCTCGTGCATAAATTTGCACAAGTTAATTATAAAATCCGTGTTTTTTGCGACGATTATAAATATTTAAGTGCAGACTGCAAGCGCTGCATTAATTATTCCAGAATCGTGCGCCGTTTCAAATTGAATTTGATAAATATTGCAAAAAAGGCAAACAACATGACAGATTTAATAAACGATTCGGCCAGACAGAGCGCAGCAACGTAATCAATTTGAGGCACGCACTCACAGCGCTCAGTCAACAGCGTTGCACATTTGACTATGTGCCACAGCCATGGCAGTGACTGTTGCTCTGTGTGTGGCATGCGCTTCCGCTGGGCCTCGTTCAGCTAAAGGGTAAGTGCCAAGGATAAGCCAGAATATGCAAGGCTAACAAGCTAATGGCTAACATGCCAAAACGTATGACGCTGCCGCCGCCCGGCCCCGCCCCATCCCAACACTCACACAGGTCGAACGGCAATGGCAATAGACCCAAATGAGGGCCTCGTTGCCGGCAGACACCTTTGAAGAAAGTCAAGGGTCAATTGACGAATGCTTCAACATCATTGTGCAAAAAAGAAAAGCGAAAAAAAACACACACAGAAAAACGAGAGCAGAAAAGTAAGAGTGGGTGTGTGTGTGTGTGCGTGTAAGCAAGGCCAGCATGTTAGGGTCCTTTTGTGGCACCCAGCGTTGAGGTCGAGACGCCAAAAGTTGCTTGCAACCAGCCTCGAGGGAAGCAAATGAACAAAGGCGCGTGGCGCAAAAAAGAAAGGAAAATTTATAAGTGACAAGGCACAGTGGGGCGCAACAGACAATTAAGCAGACAAATAATACATAACTTAAGCTATTGGGCGCTTAAACTTTGCAATTAATGGTTAATTTCATTAATTTGAAATTTCAATTTTTAATGTCATTATAAATCTATTTTTTATATTCTTAATATTATTATATTTTATTGTTTTTTTTTTTAATTTTATTAATTTTATTTTATATATTTTTTATTATATTTATTTTATTTTATTTATTTTTTTTTATTTTATTATATTTTTTTTATTTTATTTTATTTTATTTTATTTATTTTATTTTAATTTATTTTATTTTATTTTAGTTTATTTATTTTATTATGTATATTTTATTATTTATATTATCAATTTATGCTATTCGCTCCACTGTGCGTGAGTAAGAAAACTTTTAAAAGAACATACGAAAAAGTTATAGACATGTAGCACAAGTTAGCACAAGTTAGGACAAACACACACACACACACTCAACACATACACTCAACACACACACTCAACACACGCCCTAAACACACACGTACTGAAAATATTGCTACATAAATTTGATTAGCATATTAAGTATACGCAACGGACAGTGCATTTTTTTCACAGTGTACTTTTTTAACATGTTTTTGCTACCATATAACGTAGTTGCAAAAGCCAAGCCATACAAATTGTTTAAAAGGCCGAGACAAAACAAAAAAATAAGAAAAACAAATCAGTGTTGAATTATTTACAAATTTAATTCAAAATATTATGGACCCTTTTCATTCTTTTCTTTTCCTTCTCTTTCTGTGCTCTTCATTGCCGTATGAACTGTGCTCAGGCATACATAAGTAGCTTACAGTAAATTAGTTGCCATTTGGGACTGACAAGCGCGTTGCGTTCAAGTTACCTTGATCAACTTCCCAAAGGTGTCTAAAGTGGCAAAATTTTCGCTGAATTTTTAAATAGCATTAAACGTTAGAGGAAGCTAAAAGGATTTGTGCATATTATTAAATTCGACTTACTGCAAGGATGGACACTAAAACTTATTTATATTACTTTTAGTACTTTAAGATAATTGAATGTTTGTATTCCTTAATAAGTTAATCAGTTCTATTATAATATATGCCCTTAAATATATCATATCTGTAGGCATACCAAATATCATAGAAATAATATATACTTCCATATATTTAGCATATGAATTTTGAACTCATTTGAAGTGAAATTCCCTACAAATAGCTCACGCCTAATCAACAGCATTGGGGGGCACGAATTCAAGGATTTCATCCTCAAATTTTCATTCAGCTCGAAGTCTATATGATGTCTATTATCAATCATAATAATACAGCGTTAATAAAATACTTCCACTTCATTTAATGCTAATGAAATTGTATTATTCATGATAATGCTAATTGTACTCATCATAAAATTGATAATATTGCCATTAAATTAATTAAGTATTTTAATCATTTGATCAAACGGCAGATAATTAGGATAGTTCAATAGACTTCGTGTGGAATTCTAAGTAAAATCTACTACCAACTGCTATTAGCTAATACTAAAGTGACCTTGAAATCCATTTAAACAGCTGATATAACTTAAACAGACAACAAATTAAACATTCTATATGTCTATATTAGTGTAAATTATTCTATATAAAGCAAATAGCAGCTGCGTGTGACATGAACTATCTAAAAGCAAACTCAATTACTGTTACTTCAAATTTATTGCCCACTCTACAATATGAATGCAGAAATTCCAATTAATTATACGACTGAATTCTAAATGTCAACTTTTAATTAAATTTAATACAAGCTACGAAATTTCGTTATTTAATTTCAGCTACAACTGCCGACTGTATGGCTCATTTATGAATTTTTAAGCAGCGTTGATTGCATAGAAATCAATTGGCAATCAGCAAGGAAAGTCTTAGCTATATACACATACGTGTGTAAATACGTAGCTATGTAACTGTGTAGATACTCATACATATGTATATATGTATATGTATATGGCCAACTTACGTGCGTGCAACGATTTGTTCTAGAAAATTTCTAATTGTTTGTTTGTTGTTGTTGTTGTTATCCTATGCAGCGACCTTGACGTAAACAAGCACAGTTATTAGCGCTCCACTCAACTCAACTGGGCTGTAAAGAGTGAAAATAAAAAAAGATGAAATGCATAAATTAAATATAGAAAGCAATTTGTTAAGGATTTACTCAAGAGAGCCGCAAACTTTAATTAACTTTGCTGAAGCAGGCAGCAGAAATGCGCAATTTTGCAATTTAGCTGGCCAACAGGAAGTGCAAGCAGGGGCCAACACCCATACCCACACCCACACCCGCACCCACACACACACACACACACACAGACTGACCAAGCTAACGAGCGCGCCATCAAAAGCTCAAGTTAAGAGCTAAAATGTCAATCATCTGCCCAAAGGCATTTCAAATACAATCAATCTTTCTATGGCGTTGCTTTCGAAAGCTAGACAAATTATTTCATTATAAGTATTTAATTACAGCTGTCCGAATTATTTTTAAAAATTATCATTTTAAAAATAGCACTTGAGAGGAATCTGTTATTTTACAATACCCTAGCCAAATCGGGCATGTTCAGCAAATTCTAGAAATTTATATATTCTATTCATCATCAATTTAGAATATTAATTTATTTATTAGCTCATTAATCTGTGTCCATATTCAGCACGCCTAACGCCTAATGTTATTTCATTTTACAAGTCTGTTATTTTTAAAACTTCAATGCAGTTGTAATTGTTTTTCTAACATTACTGACAACTGTTAAGTTTAACATTCCCATTAGCTTGTGCATACGCACTTTACATTGATTGTCTTTCTTTCCTGCCTTCTCGCTCCCATTATTTGCAACAGTTTGAAGTGCTGCGCATTAACATAGTCAACCAACGCAAGCTCTTGTGTTTTGTTTTTGCGTATATTGAATTTACAGCAACTAAAAGCGAATTTTTTATTTTTGGCAATTTGACAGCACTCAAAAAACCAGCTAAAATATGTGTGTCAATGTGGCGACGTTGTTGGCTGCCTAGACCTTGTCGTCTAGTGAATATTTGTTTCTTTGACCAATGTGGATGAGGCGAAGAGTTTAATTAACCCTCAAAACACGCACAGCAAGCGGCACTTGTTGTCGTACTGCCCCCCATAGCCTAAATTAAACTGGTGTTGTTGTTGTTATTAAAGGCACTGCTGCGTAGACAGCAGGATAACAGCGCCAAAGCAAAACGTACAGGCCAAACCACACAACAACAGCTCTACATACATACTCTCAATTTATTATGCTGCTCCATCGTAAACAGCTGTGCGAAAAAAAAAAAAAAAAAAAAAAAAGCTCTCGCAACCACTCAAGCTGTGCTCGCTCTCTAATAATTCTACCTCTCTCTTGCTCTCTCACTCATCGTCTGAAGCAAGCACGTTGTGTGCCGTTCTCTCGCTCTCGCTATTCTGGCTGTTGCTATTGATATTCTTCTATTTGTTGTTATTGTTGTTGGTCTTTGGCGGTTTTTGTTGTTTATTTTACATTGTTATTGTCTTTTTAATAAGTTCATTTTTCAGAAAAAACGTGTTCATCGGTAAACCGTTTATGCCTTCATTTTGCACACTTTTGCTTTTTCTGTGGGTGCGTGTGTGTAACATAATTATATTGGGGTAACAAGTTCTGGAAGTACTGGGCGTAAGCTGAACTTGCAGCTGGGCTCGGCTACACAAAAATAAACTGTTTATGCAGTTAAATATGTGGGCCGAGGGTGACGCGGCCCATTGCTTTCCTTAGCTAACGGTGTGTGCTTTTTCCACTCTTTTTGTTTTACTGTAATATTTATTTGCCCTTGTGACCTAATAAAAAATAAGGATTTCAAGCACGCAAAGTGCTTCCTTCTTTTTGCTTTAACAACATTCATATATGTATTGAAATAAATAAATAAATTAGTGTTAACATTTCTATAAATTGGCAACATCCGCTGTCACTTTTCATTCACAACTAAATTGCAAAAATTCTCGCTCAATTGCTCGTGCCGCAAAAGTTAAATTCACAAATTCAATTAACTTTCACTTGCATACAGTTTATTTTGTAATATAATTATTGTTCTGCCTAATCAATTATTTATTTGCGCACTGATAACATGTTGTTCCTCTGTTGGCCTTAAGCAATCACACACACACACACACACTCAACTATAAACACTCTGACAATAAATTTGCGCGCTTTTGTTTACCGTTATAATTTAAAGAATATTGTACAACATTGACATTGCACCTGTTTTTTGTGCAAACACTCAGTTATTTACACACCTTGTGTGCTGCAGTAGTTGAAGGCGAAGAAACAGCCAAGATAAAATCCTGTTTCGCGCACCACTTTTTCTTGTACACCAAAAAATGCTGCGCTCTGTAATATTCTGCGTCTAAAACGGCTAAAAACACACAATCACACATACACACACGAACGAATACAATCGAATTGTTATGCGCAGAAATTAGTCGCTTTGATTTGCCGATTCCAAACCGTCACTGTGGAAAGCAGAACTCCAACTAAACTCTGGCATCTTAAATAAACGCTGCTGTTAATGTTAAAAGTGCTGAGGCAAGCAGAGCGAGAGCGAGAATGACAACGGCACTACAGAGAGCACAGCCACGAGCAGTAGCACGAATAATCGGCACGACTTGGACGACGAACGAACGTGTGGGCCCAACAATCTTTCGATTGTGCATCGCTAACAGCCATTAAAGCACTCAGCACTTTAACAGTTGTCAGAGAGAACATGTTAAATGATAGCTTTGTGGAGCACTGTTAAATGAGTTGCAGAACTCATGACTCATGAGCAGTGTGAATAGTTTGAGAGCGACTGTTAAGTGCTATACGCATACTGTAAAAGCTGTTGAATTTAAATTTACAGTTTCAAAATCATTATTAAATAAATTTACTTTATATTTAAGATAAAAATCAACTTCAATTTGATTTATATTATTTAATAATTTTTATTTATAGTACCTCACTTTAAAAATTACGTTATACCAATATTACATTAAATGTTTGTTGTTTCTGTTGTTTAAACTGCCTTCCAATTTGCCATATAGTACATACATCGAACTACATGTATTTGCATTGTCTAAGGACATTTGCATAATTATTCATAATATTTATCATTAATAGAATTATTATTATTATTATTATTATTTAGGTCTGTAAGGTTCCTGTCTGGGCTAACATTTAAGTTTATAATCGATATTTTTTTTCCATATATTGATAATTCGAAATGTGCTATAATATTGTGTGGTTAATGATTAAACTTATAATTTAAATAAGCTTAGACAATATAATTTTTATAATGTTTTCTTTCGATTTCATATTCATATATATTTTTTATTTTATGTACTAAAATTCTTGTTTTCTCTTCAATTATTTTACTTTACTTCGTTTTATTTTTTAATTGTTCTTGTGACAATTTTAACAATGTTATTATGATATATTTTTTATTATATATATTTTTTAATTGGTATTTATTCTTGCTTTTCTATTTTTTTTTTTTTTTGTTTTTTTACTTTTTTATTTATACTCTTATAGACTTTATTTCATATGCTGTTCAGTTGTTAATTATTTTACAATGATATACAGTTTTTCTCTAACATAAATTATTAGATATATATATACATATGTATATATTATGTATATATATATTTATTTGAAAAATAGCAACTAAAAATTAATAGGAATTAAATTATATTGAGTTAAGGTAAGCATATTGCATTTCAGTTCTACGTTGTTTTTTTTTTTTTTTTTTTTTTTTTTTTTTTTCATTATTTGTAATAAATTAAGAAAAACATTTCAAGTTTATATTATTTTCTTCTTTCTTTTCATTTCCTAACAACTAAAATGTTTATTAATATATATATGTACAAAGTTTTTTCAAAAAATAAGTTGTTATTTTCCTGTTTTTCTTGGCTTCGCTCTTTCGCCTTTTTCTGAAACCAAAACTTGAAGTAGCTTCAAAAATATGTATGAGTGTGTGTGTGTGTGTGTGTGGTGTCTCTGTGTATATATGTATATGTGTGTGTATTTGTGATCGGTGTATACAGCACTCGCTGGTTTCTGTTTTTATAAACTAATGGAAGCTATACAAAGTTCTTTATATATATATATATATTTTTTTTTTAAATATAAATGTTCTTGTCAATTTAAAATTTTGCTTTTATTTTTTTTACATTATTTTTTTCATAAATGTTGTAAAATTTAACTTTTTGAATTTCATTTGATTTTGCTTACAATTTCCACTTTTTGATAGATTTTTGTCTAAACACTTATAGAGTTTTATATGCATGGTTTGTGTGGCGCCCTCTAACGTCTAAAAAATAAAAACTATTTCATATTGTATTTTCCATGGGTTTTGTGATAGAGCAGTTTGTTTTTGGACTTTATTTTCGTATATAATATATATATGTATATATATAGTTGACACTCGTCTACACTAGCCAACATGTTACTAAATATGTGAGTGTGTGTGTGTATGTATTGCTATTAGTTTAGTTACAATGTCTATTTAGTTTGCTTTGCTTTTGACAAATTTATTTTCTAATTTTAACAAAATTTGATAATTTTGTATTTTCGATATTTTTGTTTACAAGGTTTTCTTTTTCTCTTTTATCAAAAATAATATTTTCTTGCTGTTTCATTTCATGTGCATATCTCTTCATGTGACTTCAATTATATTTGCTACATTGCCTTAGATATATTATCTGAAATATATATATATATAAATATATATACTTCCTTTTTGTTACTTCACGCTTTTGCTTTTGTAAAATTCAAATTATTATGCTGTTGCTCTCTTTACGTTTACTTACTTTAAGTGAATTTAATTGCTAAGACCTTGATGAATTTGGTTTAATTCTATAAGTTTTAAGGTATTTTCTTTTTCTTTCTTTCTCTAAAAACAAAAAATATAAAGCATTTCTTCTTTCATAGTTGTGTATATGTATGTGTGTGTGTGTGTGTTTTCTGGTTTGTTTTTGTTTTTGGGCGCACTTTCAGTCTCACACTAAATTAAATAGAAAAGTGAACAAAAAATCAGAATTCTGCTATCAAAACAATAAATCGGGCACTGACCACGATTTGGCTCTTAAAATTTATGTAATGTTTCGTACAAAGAAAATCAATGACTATATATATGCAAAATATAACACACGTCCAAGTTATTTGTCCCATTATAATAGTAATAATAATAATTTTTCTGTTTTTTGTTTTTTCATTTAAATAACTAACAAAGTGCTGCTGCTCTAACGGTTTCGAGTCGTGTCGTGTGTAGTGTAGTGTAATGTAAAGCATAATGGTTCATATACAGTTAAAATTATTTAATAATTATTTACATTTGATACACATTTCAAATTGTGTAATTAATGCTTCAGTTTTCATTATTGAAATTTCTTATTGGATTTTGATTGGTTTTCATTTTTGTTGAATTCCTGAAAATAAAGTGACATTCTCTTTGTCTTCTCTCTGTAATCTATATATATTCTCATTATGTCTACGTTCCTGGCTCATCCTCTCTCTCTCTCTCGTCTGTCTCTCTCTCGTTTACGGTCTCCCTCTCTTCAGTTGGTTCTTAGGTTGGCTTCGACAATAACAAATGAAACTGCTTCAACTTGCGCTTCCAATGCTTCGCATTAAAGCGAAATTTAATGGTGGCGGCGACGGTGGCATTTGTGTTGGTGGGCGTGGCAGCGTTAACAGTGTTAACAACATTTATCTTCTCTATCTCCTGCTCCATCTCGATCTTCTCCTGCTTCTCTCTATTGCTGCAGCTGGCAGCTGCATCAGCGGCGCTTTCTCAACGCTTTTGCTTGGTCGCTTTCTTGCGCTTGCTGCTGGTGCCCGCTGCCGACGCTGGCGTCGCAGTCGCACCGCTGCCCAGACCCGATATGCTGGCAAAAGGTGTTGCTGCCGCTGCTGCTGCTGCTGCTGCTGCTGCTGTTGTTGCTGTTGCTGCCGTGTTGCCACTGATATTGCCGCCGCCGCCCAACATAGCCGCGGCGTGCAGTGATTCTCAACTACGCTCGGGCGTGCCGTGATGCTGATAGATCTGCTGCAACTGCTGCTGCTGCTGCTGTTGTTGTTGCTGCTGCTGCTGCTGTTGCTGCTGTTGGCTGTGCACCACCTGGCTGCTCGATGTGACGACATCCTGTTGCATGTGCTGCTGCTGCTGTTGCTGATGATGCGCCTGATGCGGCGACTGTTGCATATGCACCACATGCTGTTGCATGCCCTGCGGCGTCGGCGGTCCCTGCTGCGAACTGTGATGCGGCGTACTGTGATGCAGCGGCGTGCCATGATGCTGCGGCGTTCCATGATGCTGCGGCGTCTGCGCATGCGGCGACGGACTGTACGGGAACTGATGCTGCAACATATGCAACTACGCATAAATAAATTTGTTAACGGTTAGTCAAAGCTGCCAGTTGTATGTGTGTGGGTGTGTGGAGGTGTGTGTAGGTGTGTATATGTATATATTAATAGGCAATACCATATGATATATGCATCTAACTATGCCATGATAATAATCTGCTTCGATTCCCCACTTTATAGGGATTATAACAGATAGTACAACTAGTTTATAGAAACCTTCTAACTATTGATCGCTTTCATATAGCATAGACTTGAAAGGCTTACATCTTTATCTAACCTAGATAATTAAGTAGAATGTAAAATTGAAACCATTTGTAGTTCTAATTTCCTTAGCCTAATCATAAGGCATATTATATAGAGTCTAGAACTACAATTATTTAACCTTTATGTTTATTTTTCGAAGCATAATGACGCTCAAATTGCCCTATTTTAAGTTTACTTGAAAGTGCATCAATAGAAGCACTAATTGTTTAAGTACTAGTCAAAAAAAAAATAATAATAATAATAATAGACTTAGTAAAAAAAATATTTCAAAACTTTGCCTAGTTTAGCTTACTTAATATTTACATTAAGAGACAGTCTAGAATCTGACAGCTTGAAAAAAATATAGACATAATATAGGATTAAATACTGATCTCATCAGATGCTATAGTAAACATACAAAAAATGTCTATAGATAGTGGTATATTATTAACAATAAACTTTTTAAATTCATACAGCATCACTGAAAGAGTTTAAGTACCTATTCTATCTCTGCCAGCTATACCAACTGAAGACTTCACTATAGATATATATCTATACTTCTTCAACCTTTCAGAGTTTTCCCACCGACTCTACTCCCTCTTATAGTGATAACTCAGCCTGCATCTGCCTCCTCATCTTTACTCTATAAGGAGAAATAAGACCTACCGAATTCTCCTGACTATGTTCGATAATCTCAATGCTGCCGGTCGTATTGCCGGACGTGTTGTTAATCGAGATGCCACTCGTATTGGCCACCACATCGTATTTGCCACGCTTGAAGCGGCCGTAGAGCGAGCTGTAGGGCAGGTTGTAGTGTATGGCCGCCTGATTGATGGACATCTGACCGACGCTATAAAAGCAAAGTGAAATCAATATTAGTTGCATGGCAGAGCGAATTATATTCAAATTGATGGCGCACTTACCGCACCGAGTTCAATGCCTCGTTCATAGCATCCTCGGACCAAGGTGTTGGATTCGAACGCGACAGTTCGATGCCCTCCCGTTTGCAGCGTCCATAAAGTGTTCCTTTGGCATTGTAAGAATTGCAGAAGAATTAGCGAGATGAACAAAGATGGCAAATTGGTAAACAACGATGAGGTAGTGCCAGAGAAATGAATGAGAAATTGGCTTGAAGGCAAGAGGAAACAGAAGAATCTAAGAGTAACTCGAAAAAGAGTTGCTCTACTGAGTGAAAATCGATATATTATGGAGCAAGTTGAACGAGAGACATGTGTATATATAGAGGGTATAGCAAGGGAGTTTATGTAGCCAAGGTGTGGCTTCTATACAGATGTAATCTAGTAAAGAGAGACGAGCAACGAATGAAACCCAGCAGTAGAAGAGAAAGAAGTTGTGTATTGAGTGTATATAGAAACATCATATATGTATGTATAAGAGTATGAGATCATATCTAGTAAAGAAACACGAGCACGTGGGAATGCCAGAGGTAGAAAAGAGAGAAGTTGTGGATAGAGTGTATATATAAACATCATATATGTATAATAATATAAGAGGATATCGAGTTTATAGAGGTAAGTAATATAGAAGTAATATCGAGCTAAGAGAAAACAATTCAGAGATCAACAGTGAGTCTAAGAGAAGATACACCAGGGAGTACATTGGAGAATGAGAATGCACAGAAGTGACGAGTAACACAGAATAGTCACGCTCTGTCAGTAAAGAGTATCATATATAAATCTGACAGAAAAATACAGAAAAAGTTTCCTCAGAGAGTACAAAGAAAACATAGACAAACATATTTATAGAGTGAGTTTACAGAAAGCAGCGAGTGACAGATTAATGTCAAAGTCTTCAGGTCAATACGATAAAACGTATCGAGTGTTATTGGAGAGCACAGAAACAGAAGTTACAAAATGGAGTTTTCAGAAGAGAGGTAAATGTCAACGAACATAGGAACACAAAGGAGTAGATTATAAAGTATATCACTTAGTACTCCCATGGAAAGTAACGAGCAAGCAATTGGAGAAGCTCTAGAAAGCAACAATTGGCACAGAAATGCCTATGAAACATATAGAAAACACTTGAAAGAGTCGCTAGTAAAACGAACCACTAGCAGGATCCCATAAATAGACGTAACGGCAGACGGCTGGCTGTTGGCCTGACTTCGTGGGCAACGACTGAAACTCACCTGTCGGTATACCGAATTCGGCACTTGCTTTCTGTACAGACGTATTGCCGGCGCGTATCGCCTCCAATGCACGCTCCAAGTCCTCGGGCGTCCATGTGGTTGGTGCGGCATTGAATGGCGCCGCCAGCCGAATGCCCTCACGACGCGCTATCTTGTAGAGCGTCGATGAGGGTATGCCAAACGCTTTCGATGCTTTATTAGCCGATATTTGACCCGAACGCAATGCCTCCAAGGCATTCTGTAGGGCGTCCTCGTTCCACGATTTGGTGCCACCCTCCTTCTTAGGCGTTTCGATGCCCAAACGATGAGCACGCTGCCATAAGGTCGTTGATGGTATGCCATAAATGGCAGATGCTTTCGTCAGGCTCATGTTTTGGGTCTTTAATGCATCTAAAGCTGAATTCATATCATCTTGTGTCCAAGCTTTGGGACCATTAAACTGACCTTTCTCGCCAGCATTAACACCACCACCACCAATGCCGCCACCACCACCACCACCACCACCGCCAACACCACCGGCGCCGGGGCCGCAAACGCTGCCACCCAGGCCGCCGTGCTGCTGATCCAAATTCGTATAATGCGGCTCATTCTGATCGTGCGGCGAACCGTTGGCGATCATCATTGAGTCCTCGCTCGTATCCGAGTTGTACATGTCTAAAAAAAAAAATACCAGAAAAATAAAATTATAATTAATTAAATGAATATTAAAAGGGAGTTGCTGCTGCTAATTGCTTATTTACCCATATGCCCGGTGGACATCATATTGACAATCTCTGGCGTTATAATCATGCCCGGCTCGTGCTTGATCTGGCTCGGATCAATCTCCATGACTGTGGCACCACCAATATCCGCATGCGTGGCATGCGCTGCATGCTGTGCTGCATGCACCGCCGCCTGCTGCTGCTGCTGTTGGTGTTGCTGTTGCTGCTGCTGTTGCTGCTGTTGCTGCTGCTGCTGCTGCTGACTTTGCGCCAACAATTGCTGAGCGTGCAAATGCTGATGATGATGTGCTGCATGTTGCTGCTGCTGCTGTTGCTGCTGCTGTTGTTGCTGCTGCTGCTGCTGTTGCTGTTGCTGTTGCTGCTGCTGTTGCTGCTGCTGCTGCTGCGCCTGCACATGAGCCAGATGCTTGGCCTCGATTACCTCGCTCTTGATATGCTGCACCAGATTCGAGTTGCTCTCGTCCCCGGTGGCATGATGGTGCGCTATCGAGTGCATGGGAGATTGATCGAGCCGATGGATTTGCTGAGCCAAATGATTGTCTATGTCGAGCTGTTCGGTGGGATCTATAAAAGAAAGAAAGAAAAGCAATTATTATGATTGAATTTTTTACTGAATATGTTAAACTATTTAATTTAGGCTTAGGTTTATGATATTATGATATATGTAAGGTTTCGGATCCAAGTTTTCTATGTAATAAATCAAAATCTATTTAGTGGAAGTCTGGGAATAAATTTAGTTCGATTGTTTCTATAGTCTATCCAATAATAAATAATAATAATTATTTTTTTTTTTACAGTATTTATTATTTTTCAATAATATTTAGTATTTTTCAATAATATTTTTTGTTAGATTTAATATTTGTAATTTTTCTTTAATTAATACTAATCGATTTATCCAAAAAAAAAAAAAATAAATAAATAAACAAAATAAAAAAAAATCTTTATAAATTTATATCGATATTTTCTATGGTCTATCCAATAATAAATAATAATATTTATTATTTTTGTAACAGTATTTATTATTTTTTAATAATATTTATTCTTTTTTAATAATATTTAGTATTTTTCAATAATATTTGTTGTTAGATTTAATATTGGTATTTTTTTTTTTAAACCTTAGATTTCTTCATATACTTATAAATTTTTAGCGATGTATTTTAAGATATACATGCAATATACATAGTATAATAATAAACGTTTTCATACAATACCATCCATAATATACTATAGTACTACTTATACTTATAAAATGTTTTCCCCAACTGTTCAGCACTTATAGTAAACTCTATGAATATTTGTAGCTCTACAACTCTACCAGAAACTCACTTGATAGATCGCGTGTGTCGGTGCTGGGGTTGCACGATAGATCGACGTGTTCCGTAACGGTGACTGGTGTGGCCGATGGTGCTGGTGGTTCCGGTGTGAAGTCCAGAAAGCCCATGGGCACGCCCAACAGACCGCCGTTCTGCAGATGGTTAGGAGGTTGAGTGGGGTAGGGTAATAGGAGGAGGAGGAGAAGAGATAAAATATGTTAA